TTCCTATGCATCGGTTTAGCAGTATAAGTGTTATTCTTAACCTTGTTGAGCATATAGCCATTAATGTGCAATCCAACTATCAGCTTAGGCTTTTAGTTGAGATGGAGCATGCTTCAATTTGGTATCAAAGCGACTACGGTCCACGTGTTGCTAACCAACTATCAGCTTCCGCTTTTAGTTGAGATGGAGCACATGCTTCAAAAAACCTTAATGGAACGAAACGAGCAAAGACTCACCATTTTACATGGATTATCACTAGAAGGATTTCTGTGATGATCATTTTGTAGCAGAGATTTATTAGTTTTCTCAATTCCTGCACGTTTGAGAAGGAAAGATCGGGTAAGGGGTTCCCCGGAGTACGAAAATCTTCCTCGAAGGGAGAAAATTGTCTTGGCAGCTACTATTTGAGCAGTAGGCGAATCCGAACTTCTGAGACATGAGACTAAATTTTCAATGGCTTCTTCCCTATATATACTCATCTTCCTTGGCTCCACCTATGTGTTAAAAATAGTGTTAAGAGTCCCACATTAAAAAATAAGACAGAAACATATGGTTTATAATCGTTAGACTAGCTAATTGATTGGATTCAGTCTTTTAGTACCAGCAGGTCGAGCTGGAGAAGTAACCCAGAAATGATAGGACATTGGTGAGGGAGAGCATTGTGCAGAAACACGAGAAGGCTGTGCATCGAACTGTAAGAGCCTTCGTTCTTAATGATATGCAAGATCTGCTCATTAAAAGTCCTTCTGAAGAAGCCAAATATGTATTGAACTTTAGAAAATGATGAATTGATGATGACAATATAATATAAATCTCTCAGGAAAAGTGGAAAGAAATTACCTGTTCAATTTAACCAGCTCAGATAGGAAGCAAACAATCTCGAACTTTTCCCCATCATTTGCCTCCATGAAACTCTCTAAAACCGGGGCTAATTCAGCTTTATCTGCAATTACATTCCTGCATTCACCCTCCACCTGCATACATCTCGATAAGATCACCACACCCGATATTCGTTCTTCTGTTGATTCACCTTCCAAGCTGCCAACAATAGCCTCTACCGCTTTTCCAGAAACCACCATCTTAGCAATCTCAGAGGTTTTCTCCTCTCTCGACGTCCTAAGAATCTGTCCTAGGAGCAAAACTGAAGCTGTTTTCGGGTTTACACACATTTTGATCAGATCCTCATCTTTGCTGTCAAGAACTGCTAAAAGAGAATCCAACACATTTATATCTAAACAATTCTCGGGAAAAGGCATTAACAGATAGATCACTACAACAGCCTCCAGTAAACCTTTCTTGAAAAGAGCAATGATGCATTCCACATCAGAATCAACTCTGGTAAGAGTCTGGATAACACTCTTATCCCTTGACCCTAACTCGGCAAGGAGAAAAACTGTGGCCTTTAAGACATATGGATCAACAGAAGTAAAAAGAATCTCCACGAAACCATTAATGACTGGAGGTTTAGAGAGCATTGCTAGACTTTCTGCTCCCGAATTAGCTTCCTGCCAGAATTTCTCGATCTGGAGGACTGCCAGTTCAGATTCCTTCAGAATCTCTGATGTACAAAGACAGGTGAGAGCAAGATGAATATCGTTAGCAGAGGTGTCAATCGTCTTATTGCTACGAAAATCTAAACGTCTAATTCCCTGGAAGTTTGGCACACTTTCTGGTTTATCATTGTCATCAGAGTTATTGGATACAGCTGAACTTGGATTGTTTTCTTGCCAGCTTGCAACGAGGCGTTTGAGCACATAATTCGTCTTGGGTAGTTGAGTAGTGTGCAGGGTCTGTCGCGTGATTGGGCAAGTGGAGTTTCCCCTGTCAAGCCATTCTTGGATTGCTTTTCTTTCATAAGTCTGGCCTGTTTCAAGAGTCACTGGATCACTAAATATGTGACCAGTAATGGGGCAGACAAAGTCCTTTGGAGGTGTATGCTTTCTGCCACTGTGCAGAAACCCAAATTCTTCCATGAAAGAATCTGGAGAGCTGAGACAGCAAGAAATGTTAGTTGAAGTTAGTCTCATTGGCAATGCAGAACTCAGTTGGACCGAGACCTAAAGGGCCAAGTCCAGAACTCTGTCGGATCGAGACCTAAAGGGCCAAGTCCAGCACCAGGTGCCAGTGATTTTTGGGCTGAGGCTTGAAGGGGCAACGAGGCCTGAAGGGCCAAGTCCAGCACCCGCTTTTTGAAATGTGGGGCTGACTACTAGGCAAGTATAAGGAAATAAAGTTGCACCTACCTGCTGCTTGATTCTCCAGAGGGATGGTGCCTTTGTTGCTGGGCTTTTCTTTGCCTAAACAATGATGTTTTCTTGTCCATATGGTACAAGGAAAAACAACCTCTTCAATAACAATGCCTGCCTGCATAGGTATATCAGTCAGCAGAGAATATTTGTTTTCATAGATATTATCAAATACCTTATACCTCTGATCTCCTTTTCAGCTTCAGAATCCAAGGAAGAAGAAGCAGTCAAGTGCTCACTGGAACATTATATTGTAGTTCAAGACTTAGATTTTGTTGAGGATGTCTGGCATGTAATCTCTCTTGAAGAGACTCTTCAATTCCAGGAAAACAAAAAAATGGAAACTCCACTGATTTATGCCCTTCAGCCATAGGGGATAGGAATAAGGTTGTTGAAATTTTCTAAAGTCAAATTTGACAGCATGATCTTTTTTATTTTTTGAAAATAGACAGCATGATCTAAAGTATAGAAGAGGATGGAATCTATAAGGTGCTCTACTGCTCTATATATCACGTGCAATATATTATTTCTAAGTGAGAAAGGTCAATACATTATTATGACATATCAAATAAAGGCCACCCATGTAGATCAAGAGCAAAATGGTTGATTATGTTAATTTCTAGTGTTCCTTTCGTTACAATTAAATTAACATGGTTGAGTTTATTGTGCTTTTCAAGTCTAGTGGCAATTTTCACTTTTAAGTATTAATTATTACTCTAATTTGTTTCTTTTTTACCACTTTAAAAAAGTTTTAAGATCATGTATTAATATGACTAATTCACAGGGTTGTAAAAATCGGTCTAAGCACCCGCCTAGGCGTTAGGCGCCTCTAGACCGTGACGATTTTCCCCCTAGGCGTCCGCCTAGCGCCTAACTCGGTCGATTTGGTCGCCTAGCGTCTAAGTTAGTCGAGTTAACTCGTCCATTTCAGTTGAGTTAACCCGATCAGCTCGGTCTATTTTTTTATTTTATATATATATATATATATATATATATATATATATATATATATATATATATATATATATATATAGGGTTGCATTCACATGCAAACCCCCTTAAAATACAAACGTGTGGACAACATCTAGCCATAGGATGTGATAAGATGAATGGATTAGATGGAGTCTTAATTCTGACACACGGATTGTTAATTACTTAAATGAAGGGCAATAATGTGAATGCAGCCACAATGTAAATAAGGAACGAATTCTATTTTGTATATTAATTCTATAATTAAGGAAGTTGAATACTGACAGGATTTGACTAATGAATTCTATTTTGTATATTAATGCTATAATTAAGGAATTGAAGTTGAATACAGAAAGGAGTTGAATTTTACCCATCGTTGGTAGTTAGTTTGTTGAGTTATGCACACAGTTTATCAACATTGTGCACACGTTTTTTATTACTAAGCCTATAAGCTAATACTAAAGTACTCAATATTGTGAAATTTATTTAGTTTTTACCATGGTTGAAATGTATTTAGTTGTGCACGCATACTATTTAACGCCAATGTACACCCACGTATTTAAAAAGTTAGCGCATACGATAATATTGAACTAGTCTGTTTTTAATTTTATCCATGGTTGGCATTTATTTAGTTGAGCTATGCACACTGTTTGACGCCAATGTGCACACCCGTTTGTAATTACTAAGCCTATAAGCTAATAGTGAACTACTCACGCTAGTGAAATTTATTTAGTTTTTACCGATGGATGAAATTTATTTAGTTGTGTGCGCACATAATTAAAGCCAATGAGCACTCATGTATTTAAAAACTAAGCGTATAGGACAATATTGAGCTAGTCGCTTTTGTGAAATTTATCTAATTTTTATCCATGCACCCAGTTAACACAACTGTGCACACATGTGTTTATAAACTAAGCCTACAAGTTAATCGTCCAATAGTCACTTATGTAAAATTGATTTAGTTAATGTCCATGGTTGAAATTTATTTAGCTAACTACGCACACATTTTAACACCAATGTGCACGCATGTATATATTTACTAACCCTACAGGCTAATAGTGACATAGGCACTTCTTTGAATTTTATAGTGTTGTGCGTGCACACAGATTTCCGCATCTGAGCACACACGTATCCATTTACAAAAAGTACAAGCTAATACTCAACTAGCCACGTCCGTGAGATTTATCGAGTTATTATCCACAAATGAAATTAACTAAGTTGTGTCGGCTAGTGCACATGGTAGTATATATGTGTGTATTGGGTCATACCAGTTTAAGCAACTAGCTTTTACTTCAACTTTCCACGTAACAGTTTAAGCAACTAGCTTTTACTTCAACTTTCCACGTACAAATGTCTAATTTTGACTACTCCATATCAATATGAAAAACAATTAGCTAGTTTAATATCATACTCTCAGATATAAATAAGACAAAACACCATGGATTTGTGCATTGATGTGGTCTGTAACATTATGATAAATGAACATTTACTGATTCTATTGTTAGCAAGGCAAAGGGTTGGAGTGTAGTTATTGTGCGATGTGCTACGTTTACGTCGTCCTAGAATTCATAACGAGGCTAGTCTAACCTTAGGAATTTCGATTTAGGAAGAAGTAGTGAAGACCACCTTGTGATTTAACTAGGCCTAGGATGAATGTGTTCGTCTACTGTAGAAATCGTATGCACCCACACTCAACGCATTCGTACCAGATCACAATACAAAATACGTAAGCACACAGTTTCAATCGTATGTGCACACGGGATCTGAACAGTATAAACCACGATAGAGGATAACGAGAATATAAATATTAAATGCCAGTACTATCCCACGACATGTAATCAAAAACCAGTCAGGAAAAAATATGAGGAATAACTAGTCTATACAACTGCAAGTAAGATAATGCAAAAAGACCCTAGCGGCAACCACAAGTTTACATCGTAGGAAAAGGAGCAGAGATACACTGGTACGCCCGACATAGGTTCTGTGATTTGTGCTCATTGAACTTGGACACCGCCAGTTCCTTCGTATACTGTAGCCTAAGCTTGTGCAGCATACTAGAGTCCCCCTTCACAAGGCTGCAATCCCACTTTGAATACTAAAAAAAAACACCACAAACAAATCAATACTGCGCTAAACACAATTAAATACCTGTGCACAGTACAAACAACATGTTTGCAAGGAAATAGGACTACACAAAGCTTCGTAGAGTGCACACATTCGCACAAATAAATGCACAGATCTAACTAAGACAAAAATTCACAACATAAGACCAAAGAACTTGTAAATTAAAACATACAATCAAAACTTAATTAGAACTCGGAAACAAGAACATGGAAACAAATCTGGATAGACTATAGAGTGCACACATTTGCACAAACAAATTCACAAATATAAATGAGACAAAAACTCACGACATCAGACCAAAAAACTTGAAAAACATACAATCAATACTAAATAAGAACTCGGAAACTATAACAGTACTAAACACATATTTTAATGGGAAAACAAATCTAAATAGAACCTGTTTCAAGCTAGCAATCATAGTAACCTAAATCATCATCGTAAATGAAATAGCCATACCTGGCAATTAAATTTACATGCTTAGCTTCAACAGTCAAAGTGGTCAACCTAAGTTTATAAGTAATTATAGAACTAGACTAGAAAAAGGAAATGAAGAAAAATCAATTTAAGCAAATGCAGTTGATAAGCAAATGTTTCTATCACAACTAACAATCTAAATGAAGAAAAATCAAGAAATTAAAAAACATACTGGATTTTGATTCTTCTTCATCTTCATATATAATGATTCATTGATATGTTCTTTTCTACCATTATCTTCCTATTCTTTATTTTATTTTCTTTCTACTTAAACGAACACATTTTCATAACAGCAAACAATTTTATACATTAACACCACTAAACATATTATAACTTTACAGGAATGGATGCATAGCACTACATTATCTTTTTCACTAGAGCAACTAATTTATCTTAAAATGAAAATAAATTTTATTAAAGCAAATGGAACTTTAAAGACACAAAAAAAAAAAAAAAAAAAAAAAAAAAAAAAAAAAAACCACAGACACCAGACACTGCAAAAAAAAAAAAAAAAGACCATAGACACCATTCTCACACCTAATACATGCATAATAATCAACCACAGAAAGCAATTAAACAGGCAAATACATACAAAAAAAAAAACCCAAAATCAGAAACCCTAGCCCCAATATCGCCCATAAATCAAGCGAAACCCATCGTCACCACAAAAAAAAAACACACACCATGCGTAGAATGAAGGAATCCCCCGACAAAACAAGACAAACACGACGAACAAACAGAAAACCAAAAAAGTAAAATAAAAATATGGCGACAATACGCACCTCGGCTGGCACCTCGGACCGGTGGTTCCCGCCTCTTCGATGCGCCGCGGTCCCCACCTTCCACCATTGCAACGTGGAAGTGAAACGCAAGAGATGAAACCGAGATGGACGCGAAGCCTGGAGACGTAAATCACGCTCGGGCCGAGAACTAGAAGCGGAGAGACAGAATAGAGAGCTGTTGCGCTTGGAAGAGGAATAACTAGACTAATTTGACTAGGTCTCAAAGATAACCAAAATACCACAAATAACCCCCTACCAAAAAAAAAAAAAAAAAAAAAAAAAAAAAAAAAAAAAAAAAAACACTTAACGTAAAAACCCCCGCACGCGCGAAATAATCAGCCACAATCTGGACCATCCAACGGTCCCAAATTGTCCACAGGTTTGTATTTTAACAAGTGTTTTTACCTGAATGTAATTATATATATATATATATATATATATATATATATATATATATATATATATACTCGTAGACTAGTTTGATACTTTGAATCTTTGGATGATTGAAGTATTTGAGTATTTTTAATTTTTAATATTTTTAATGTTTTTTTTTTTTGAAAATCATTGTTTTGATGTTATGACTTATGAATTATCATTAAATTCATTTATTTGGATGTGTTATTTGATTAAATATTGAAAACAATCTCATTAAAATTGTAAAACTGCAAATCTATCACTGTTTTTTTTTGCGTCCGCCTAGATTCCGCTTAGGCGCTAGGCGCTGTCAGGGCACCCGACTAGCACCTAGGGCCTACTGGAACCATGCTAATTCATATATTATTTTGAACAGTTAACTTATTGCATAGCAGAAATCACTCCGTGTCACCTCGTCACATGGTAATATTGATAATTTTGTTACAAAGTATTATTGAAGACAATTATAAAATGGGATAATTTAAACTTGCAATCTGCAAATTAAACCCCACCACTAAGCACGCACGCACCCCTAGGCTTTCCCTAATCCAAAACCACAACGGCGAGATTGCTTGTTTGAGCTGCAGCAAGGGAGAGATGGAGGAGGAAGGTGGGGGAGTGGCCTGTTAGGGTTTGTTTGAGCTGCTGCAAGGAGGAGGTCGAAGGAGGGAAAAAAAAAGGAAGAATGCTGCGGCGGTGGAGGAGGAAGAGCAAGGAACCAGACGGCGCCGCCGGAGGAAGAGGAAGGAGCCGACCTTAAGCTGGAGAAAGGAGACAATTTTTTAGAGAGAAAGCCACAAATTGCAGTGTTATCAGTAATTATAGGTTAGTTTTTAAAAGTTCAAATTGTATCATTTTAATGAGTTCAAACAGTTAATTAGAGGTTTTTATTGGGATATTATTATAAAAATGTAGAAAATGAAAACAGAGATGAGAATATCGAGGATTAATTGCTTACATTATTTTTGATTCCGTGTTTATTTTCCAATCCTGTAGAATAGGTCTGTGTTGTTGCTTTTCATAGCCTATTAGCCTGCTTCCTTCTGGTTAATAAACTGCTTCCTTCTGATTAATAAATCAAGTTGTTCACGCAATCTATAGAGAATGCAAGGACAGTTGCAGGCGGACATGCCGCCTCCATGTCCAGAGCTGATACGCTGAGCTTTTTTCTCAGGCATGCTTGAAGACAAATTTCACGAAAACAGAAAGCGTGGGCGTACTATTTATTTTCGCAGTGCTGCGTGTCCTATTTCTGGTAAGTCAAGATCGGGAATCGCAATTTCAGTATGTAAAATTGCAAGTCTGAGATCATTTCTGGCAAAAAAGCAAACAAAGGTGGAAGTTATGCGTTGGTTGTGTGTGTTGAATAGGGAGAGAGCTTAAATACCTCTCATATCATCTAGAGCTAGTCTGTTTCTTCTCACTTTCCCCCCTGTTTCTATTCATTTTCACTCTCATTTCTGGTTTACTTAGCTCAGTAACTTTGAATCCCAAGTTTACTACAAGTTTATCCTCTGGTTAGAATGGGTGAAAAATTTCCACTGTTTTTCAGATTTATGGCCATTCATGGGTCTCAAACCAGACTTGTATGCTATTCTATCTCCATTTTCACTCTGTTTTCTTTCTATATTTTCAAGAGTCTAGCTCTAAAGTGATTTGTTTTGTTTTGTATTTATTTTTATTATTTAAACAAACTTGGTGAACAGGAGCTCCCACCCATTATCTCCAAGAAACTTGTTGAACAGGAGGTTGAACAAGTGTTGTTAACCAGCCAAGAGGGCAGCTGGGAAGTTGAAACCCATAGATCTGGAGGAAAGCTCTGCTTCACAAAGGGGTGGGATGAATTTGTCCTGCAACATGGCATATGTGTTGAAGATCTTTTACTCTTTGAACACACTGGGGACTTGAGTTTTAAAGTCAAGGTGTTCGGTAACACTTCCTGTGAGAGAGATTTCAAAAGTAAATTGAATCTACTTTTGACCATCCTTTTTTCTTGTTAATACTGTAGTATTTAATTATGATTTATGAATGAGATTATTATTAGGTTTGCTTCTTTACAAGTAGATGAGTTACACCTGAATTAACTTTGCTTTATAATTTTTGATTTTACCTTTAACAAATAGTTGTTTTGAATCAAGTTCTGGACGAATTACAATTTGGTTTGATCATTGCTGTAGTCATTCTGTAGCTTGAAATCTTGAAGTAAAAGATTAATGCTTGTTATTATAGGAGGAAGAACACAAGGAAATGAAGATTCTGTGAAACTGAAAGTGGACATAGATGAAGTGCCTTCCCCTGTTGAAATTCAGAAACATGATCATGCTCATGCACATGATAAGGAGGTCAATAAAAGTGAGTTGAATCTACTGTTTACAGTCATTTTTCTTGGTAATACTGTAGTATATGGTTGTGAACTGGATTGTTATTAGATTTGATTTCTCAGAAGTAGTGTGTTACACTTGAAATTAACTTTGCCTTACGTTTTGTTTTCTATATTAACAAATACAGAGTACTTATTTTGAATCATGTTTTGTGGGCTGCTTTGATCAATTTTAACCTGTATGCACCAGTTATGTTGATAGAAGGAATTAAACTTCAAATCCTATGTTTGTATAATTTAGACTGTTTGTATAATTTATATAATTTAGACTTATTTGTTTTACTGTTTGTTTAGACTCTATATAATTTAGACTGTTTATATTATATAGTTATATAAATTATACAAACTGTTTGCAGTGTCTAAATGATATATTTTAGAGTGATTATATATAAATATAAACTACATAAATTACACAAACTGTTTGTGAAGAAGACAGAGACCTGGTGATTCTGCTGTTAATCCACTACAAGAAGTTATACTTGTAATGATTTTTAAAACAAAGGAGTATGTGTAAAATATTACAGTACTATGTACATGGTAGACTGTTTGTTTATATAAATTATATACAAACTGTTTACAGACTGCAATGTCTAAATTATACATTAAAGTGTATTCAATATTTTTTAGAGTTTAGTGTATTAATGTATTATTGAATGTGTGTTTATTTTAGACTTTATTATTTTATTGCAGTGTAGAAGTAAAAAAAAATGGAACCAAGGAGATTTGGAAGGCATTAATGCGTCAAGGAGATGAAGAAGATGAATTGAATTATGAAATGTCTAATGTTTTATGAATTATGGACTTGTGATTTTGTGTATTTTATAATTTTAGATTATGCACTTTAAAATTATTGTTATGTTTAATGTTTGATGAACTATTGGTAGGGACTATGGACTTTGGAGTAGTGAGTTGTGACTAGTGAGTTTGATGAACCATGGAGTATTGTTAGGTTTAATGTTTGATGAACTATGGACTTTGAACTTTATAATTATTGTGATGTATTTTCAATTATGTAATGTCTAATGTTTGATGAATTATGTTTTATGTGAATTATGTATTCAAGTTATTTTAATTAGTTTTGTGTGTACAACTGATAAAATTTAGCAAAACAATAAACCAAAAAAAAAGGGGTTTTGGGGTGGGGGCCAAGGGTGGGGTGATCTAGGTTAGTAAAACTTAGGGCCGTCAAGGAGTGGGTTTTTTTTTGCTGTCCTGTCCTGCCAGTTCGTATTGACAGCACTATTGGCAGGAAAGCGAAAACCTAAAGTTGTGAATATGTCTCAAACTTTTATACATATAATATTAAAATAAAACAAGACAATCAAAGACGTGTAACTCTAAAAAAAATATGTTTATAATAATAACACATTTATTAATTTGTATCTTGAAAAAATGATTTTTTTAGTACATTAGTTATACTTAAATTGTAGACTCAATCAATAGATTATTGCTTTATACAACTTTTCTCCTTTAATTATGTTGGAAGTGGTTGTTTCAAACCATTACTTATAAATTTTGATGACATTAAAAATTTATTTTGATTGGCCAAACTATTAGAGGACAAATTGGTAATTTGGTCATTTTGTCAATTTTCCCATATATTAAAAAAATAAAAATTTTCACATTGATGATTTTCTGTGAATATTGGGTTTATTGTAATGTTGATTACACAAGAATACCTTAGTCTAAAAAAAAACATCACGAGAGATGCCTTACAGACTAAAAACATCCATTGTGCACTGTTATGTCATATGTGCAAGGGACAACCTGAGTCAGCTGGCCATATTTTTGCACAGTGTCACGAGGCCGTGCGTATCCGAAGCAGTTTAGGCATACCATCGGTTGGAGTTGTCAATGGTAACATCACTGATTGGTTCTTTGGTTTGATTAAAGTCTTGCATGGTGATTATCTAGCTAAGTTTGTCATGGCCTGTTGGGGAATCTGATGTAGTAGGAATGAGCATGTTTAGCAAGGGGTGGTGTTTGACATGGATGTTATGCTACGCAGGGCTATAACCTTCTGGCAGAATTGGCAGCATGCGAATGTGACACAACATGCAGGGAATCCGAGCACTGGGGAAGATAGATGAATACGGCCAGCAGTAGGGAGACTAAAACTCAATACAGATGCTACTCTAAACACAACAACGAATTCTATGGGTTTGGGGTAGGTGCTGCGGGATCATGATGGAACTTTCATGGCTGCGAAGAATATGAGTTTAACAGGTGTCTACACTGTTAATGAGGCTGAGGCAGTCAGTTTACGTGAAGCTCTGAGCTGGATTAAAGATACTGGAATGGGTAATATTGATGTAGAAATGGACTCC